TTCCTTTTTTCGATCTTTATTTCTGCTCTGAGGGAGGGGGGAAAGAAACAACAACAAACAAACACCAAAAGGTTTACTACTTCCCAATACAGATTATTCTATTGGCATTAGATAGCTACATAAAATCTTGGAATATATTAAGCAGGGAATACAAGCTACAGAAAATAAAGTACTGTCAAGCAAAAGCCTGCTTGTATACTTAGCTCTATACCTAACTTTCTGAAGTATCTAGACAGATAAAGAGCAGCTATAAAAATTCACAACATAACACTAGGAAAAGCAAAGCAGTTTCTAGTTTAGACCCACAACTCTATTACAATTTGAGGAGTGATTAAGCATGAAGATTCTAGGAAGCCCACTTCACAATAAGAAGAAACAGAAAATGTTCTGAAAAACAGAACATAAACAGCACATTTCTCTCCTCCATTCCCAAGACATAAAAGCAAAACAGTAAGACCTACCAAGTTCTATATCCTCATGGAATCCCTCAGAAAGAGTCATTAGCACTCCCTGTCTAACTGCCTAAAACTAAGTTAGATAAAAATAAAATAAATAAATATTTTGTTTGTGTATGTAGTAGTGATAAACATGTTAGAATAACTTTGCTAATTTTTAAGAAGACATAGGTAATAAAATACCATACTCTGACTATTAATTAAAGTAGACAGATAGTTAAACATTAAGGTCAGATTTTAACCTCAGGAAGCTTTTATGGTCACAAGAGTTGCAAGGACCCAAAATATACAAAACAGCTCAGGGGAAAAAAAAAAAGTTATAAGCCAGGAACAAAATTACCTCCAACAGATACAAAAAGCCTTACCTGAATCAGTGCTTTTAAGTCATCTTCTCTATCACCAAGGCCCAGTTCATCTTTAGTCTTTTCTGCCTCTCTAGCTTCTTTTTCTGCCTAAAATAGCAAACTGCATGTTATCTGTCACAGTATTATAGTAGATACCAAACACTTCTTTTTTGCATCTGTATACAAATAGCTGCAAGGAAACACAAAGGGTTTCTAAGTTTGGCCGCAGATGAAAGATCAGTCAGAGAGAGCCCATTCTGGTTCCTCGGTTTCACAGAGCAGGACAGTTTTTTGCTGTTTTACAATGCTGAACATGACGAGATGTCCATCCCCATCTCTGTTCCCCCCCCACACACACACTTTTTTTGTCCTAGCAGCTATTATATTTGCTTTAATTTGGAAAAAGGTTACTGTGACATGCATATAATGTACTCTGTAGTGTCTAAAATAACCCAGAAGAGAAGGGAGAAGAGGTCAACTTAGTCCAGAACATTATTACACACTTGCCAAAAGGCAGGCAGAATATATTTCCACCCCAGATACACTTCTTAACTCCAGCAATTCATGGCTTTGTAAATAAGTACAGGGACACGCTAAACGGTAATAAGCCATTGTATAATAATAATGAAATAAAAAAAAAGTAATAGGCAACAGCCTATTACAACTCAAAAGCCTTTCACAACAATTTGGGGGGGTGGAGAACACAGGTGACTAAATGTCAAAGTCAAAGATACTGATCAAGATCTGCAACCCAGCAATCCTGTGGCAAACATGTCTTAAGAACAGTTTCATTTATTTCTACCAAGAAAGATTAAAAGCTTTAATAAATGCTTCTCTTTGGTCCCCGACTGAGATAACCTACCCGCCTTTTTCTTGCCATCATTTTCTGCTTAGACTCTTTTACAAAACTTTTGTAGGATGGGATTTCTCCAGAGTCAATAGCTTTTTCTATGATTTTTCGTATTCTTGGTTCATCGGTATAGTCCACACACAACACAGACTCCATTATTTTGTCCATGTCGCCCTCAAAATCCATGTACGCTGTTTTAATATCAGCTAGCTCTTCTTCTGAGTCTTTATAGCTCTTTTCGAAGTCTTCAATATCTTTTACAGTGATCTGAAGCAAAGAGGTGATACTTGAGTTACAGGACTTATTCACCAGAATGATTTAGGAGACAGCATTAAAAAAAAAACCCAACCAAACAACAGCGTTTTGGGCAAACCTCGTAAAAGAGACATGGCTACAGCTCAGAGGAGGGGGGCTTCCCCTGCCCGGGGGTTTGCCGTCCCGCTGAGGTGAGCCCCCCGCTGGTCCCCAGACCCTGGCCCAGCTCTCACCTTCTTGAAGAGCAGCCGCCAGTACTCCTGC